GAAGACAAACGAGTGGCATCAAAACTGCCCTTTCTTGGCTCAGAACGTCTGCGGGCGTTTCTGAAACGGAATCAACTGGCTAGCTTCCAGAAGCCTGGAACTACAAAAGACCGAGGGAAACATCTGTCACCACTGTATCGTTCGTTCACTTCTCTGGCAGCCGCAGGAGAGCAGAAGCTTCTAGTGTTTGCTCATGAAAAGAGGTCAGTATTGGGAGAAGTTCCTGGAAGGCTTTCTGACAAGCCGGCAAGTGCCCCACATCTGCTCTGGCTGATTTCTGCTGGCCGTGGCAGCCCTGGGATCCGAGACGCTGTCCTCCTGTCCCAGGGTCAAAGGGGCTGGGAGGCTGTGTGTCATCACACCTGCCCTTGACAGTCTCCCCAGGGCCATGAACCTGACACGGCCTCCCCTGTGTGCCTCCCTCTGGCGCCTGGCTTTGCACAGACTCCTGGGAGCTGAACCCCCTTTCAGGTCACGCCTACAGTTTCTGCAGCGCCCACACGCATCTCTGTGGCCAGAGCCCTCCCTGGGTCCTGGACACTACTGCTTCCTCAGGGCATCCCTGAGACTGGCTGTCAGTGAGAAACAGGGAAGGTGAGGGAGGGGTGTTGATGGTCTGAGGAAAGAGAAGAGCTCACTTTACTCCCAGAGGTCTGGGGTGGTGTCACTAGGGAGACCACAGGCTTGAGGCTGAAAACCCAGGACAGCTGGGCTTGAGAGGTTTTCACATGCACACACTCATTCCTGACAACAGTGCCCCATCACCCCTGATCATTCCAGAATGCCCTGTGCAGCCAACAGACCTGCAAGCTGATTTCTGCAAGGTGTAACACCTGCATGACCCTGCAGGGGTTGGCCACTCCCTGTAAGACCCACCCCTGCAGTTTAAACAGGCCACCATGAGGCGGCCGATGAACTGACCAGCAGCTGCCTCGTGCCCCGTGGAGAATAGCACAATAGGGTTTCTGGCATTTTTATGGCATCTCACAGCCCTTACGGCACGTGCACGTACGGGGTCTCATACGATCACACGACAACCTTTTGTGCTGGGCGGTGCGTGTGTCATCACCCTCCGTTTACAAACGAGCATCTGAGGCTCCCGGAGCTTAAAAGACTTGCCCATGGAGCCTCCCCTCCCTTGCAAGTGGCACCAGACTAGGACTCAAAACAGCCCTGGGGCCTGAAGCCAGTCACTCATGGTACGGTGAGTCCTGCTTCCTACTTGCTTGGGCAGATCAGCAACCTTTTAAAAACTGTGCAGCTGAGACTCAACAACTCCAGGGCCTTTACAGTCCAAGCCCAGCCCGTGGGTCAGCAGCATTAGCATCTCCTGGAATCTCCTTAGGAAAGCAGAGCCTCGGGTCCACACAGACCTACGGAATCATCGTCGGCTCTTCAACAAGATCTCGGAGACGCCTAGGGTTTGAGGAGCTCTGTGTGAGGCACCACATGCTTTCCTCCCTGTGCTCTGGGTGACTCTTCTAGCTTCACGTTGGGGAAGTAGCCTCGGTGGGGAGGGCTCAGAGAAAAGAAACTTCTACCTGATTGCTTCTTGAAAACCACAAGAAAAGCTGGCTTATTGGGCCAGCTTCCCTCTCTGAAAACGGTCTCTACCTTTTCCCTCTTCTCCCCAGCTCCCTGCTGCAACACTTTCACCCAGAGACACATCTCCTCAGTTGACTCTCCATCTTCTCCATTCACTTTGATACAAGCACAAACATGGAAGATGTGATTTCAGTTTGCCTTGACTTCTGCAATTCCTAAAGTCTGTTTAAAGAACTCCCAATTCCGTAGGGGATGAAAAGGTACAAATTACTGATACCAAGCAGGACCCTGTGGGGCTCCTGGGCACAAAAGCCTTTCTGCGTCCCCCATTTGTTGATTACAGGAAATAGGCTTCATTCAGCCTCCAAGACCTTCCCTGAGTTCCAAGGGGCAGGTTCAGACCGTTGCAAATTAGGGAAGGGAGGGGATACACAGACAAGAGAGAAACAGTCAAGAAACAATAGCGCAGCCTTGGGGCAGGGTCCGGGTTCCCCCTCTAGGGATACACAGAACAGTATCTTTGAGCTGTTTTGCAGACACTGAAACCCTCACCAGGTGTTAGAAGTTAACTGTTGGCTGCCCACAAGCCCGTAGACCCCAGACTGGTTGGAACCAGAAGGTTGATGATGCAGACTCCCGCTTACCTCACCACCAACCCATCAGAAGAAGGTCCACGAGCTGATCACACCCTCTTTGAACCATTGCTATAAAACTCCTCACTACTCCTTCCAGGTCAGGACACACAGTATTGAGGGCATTAGCCCACTGTGTCCCCCTTTGCCTGGCAAAGCAATAAAGCTCTTCTTTTCTACTTCACCCAAAACTCTGTCTCTGAGATTCAGTTCGGTGTTGGGGTACAGACGCCTGATTCGGCTTCACTACTAGGTATAAAACAAGCTACAAGGATATATGGTACGATACAGGGAATATAGCCAATATTTTATAATAACTACAAATGGAGTATAACCTTTAAAAATGGTGGATCACTATATCGTACACCTGCAACTTACATAATACTGTACATCGACTATACTTCAATTAAAAAAAAAAACCCAGCCAAAAAAAAAAGAACTCCCAGTTTGAGTTGTGACACGGTGACACATTTTTCTCTCCTTTCTTTGAGAAAGAATGCCTCTTCACTCCTCCAGTGGTGTGCATGGCTTAACCGACATACCCAAAAATTGGTTGCTAAATTAGCAGCTCTGTTTAGCCACAGGGAGAACACAGTTTACAATCAGAAAGATTTTTTTAAGTGATGAGCTAAGCTTTATTACAGACATTGGGCAAGGTTTTAACTGGCTTCTCTAATCAAGTGATGGTTTTGCCCCCTGCCCCCCACTGTTCTCCAGTTGACACACCAGTCACCATCATCCTCTCATGATTCTTCCCAGATACTTTTTACAGGAAGACAATAAGCTTCCTTATCAAGGAAATCAAGGAAGTCAAGGTGTGATGTCTTTCTATGTTTAATGTGCTTCAATGACCTTTCATTTTTTCCTCCCTTGACCTTTTACCAACTTCGTTGGTAAAAGAGCTTCGTTCCTTCTGCGTTGTTTTAAAACAGCACACTTGGTTAATGGTGCCAGGCCTGCCCCAAGTGGCCAGCAATGCTAGTCTGGTCCCAAGGTAAGTGTCACGTTGAGGATACATCTTCAGGGCAGTAGAGGGTCCTGCTCCTCAGGGGAGGCCCTCTTTGAGCTGCCATGTTTGAAGGAAGCAGCGAAAGACCATTTCATCTTCCCTCCAGGAATTCTCCATCAAGAAAGGGCACATGAGCTCACTTTATGAGAGGCAGCAGCAAAATATTCTACTCCGTTTCAAGAAAGGCAAACTCCTAATTACAAACTGAATACACTCAGGGCTCCTTTACTGTTAAATACATCATTTACTGAATACTTGCTTTTCTCTGGGACTAAAAGCAGGCCGTTATTTCTCCCTTGCCTTTGGGACAATCTGGGGCCCTGTCAACGTTCCTAAACCGATTTGTTTCAGCCTGCTTTCCGCTGCTGCTCAGAAGAGGCACATCAAGTGCCTCTTGAGCAACTTCTGGCTGGTCCATGAAGCCACAGGTTTACTCAACGCTGGCAATGCCCCAGGCCTGGGCAACGGTTCCAGGCTCCAGGCTGCCACGTGCTTTGTTTTGAGAATCCCCTCTGAGTCCCTTCCACCACGGGGACCTGTGACGCCGGTCTTGTGACTCCATCTGAGCTCCAGCAGTGCCTCTTCTTCTAGAATGAGCGCTCTGACTTACAACTTTTAAAGGAGCCGGTCCAAATTCCCTCTGAACACTACACCTCCAAGTCTAACTTTACAGTGACAAAACGGTAGAATCTCAGAAAAAATTCTGATCGGAGTGTAACCTCCATTCCCAAACCTCCTTGCTCCTTGGACCCAATGACGTTTTTAGCTAGCTTGCAACTTCTAAGGGTAACTTTTCAGAATGCGGCTGAAGTCTGAAGCAGATGGTAAATGGGACGTGGTGATTGTATGCGGGGGGTGCTTGGTGGGGTGGCGGTAAAGTGGGGAAGAAGCCGGTACTGAAAGAGTAATACAGCCCTCAGCTTTCAAATTTTTTCCCACCTCTGGGGCTGACGAAAGATACATTCCCAGGGCCTATCTGGTCACCTTGGCCAGCATGCTTTCCCTGGGTTTTTTTTTTCTGAGTAGATCTGATTTGGGCCAACAGTGGATCCTTGACGTAGCCACAGAAGACCTCAGCTTTGGGTGACCATGAGATCCAGGGACTGGCACAGATGGGACCCCGAGGCCAACACTGACCATCCGACTCCCAAGGAGGCTGGGGGAGCCCTGTGGTACGTTGTGGCAGAGGGCTGGTGTCAGGGTTTCTGTCCTCTTTTAAAGGGAGGTCATATCAATGAGGAAATACCGTGAGATCATATCAACGAGAAAATACAGTCAACAGAGCTCAAAGAGTACCTTGACTTTGACGACCCCATGGGTCTGCCAGATGTTCAGACCCATGCAACCACATAACCAAAGGAGGAGAAGGCTTGGGTTGGAGAGGAGAGGAGAAATCTTCACCACGAACATCGCCACATGGGAAGGTAAGTTACAGGAAGCAGCCGGGTCCCCTGGCTCCATGGACCTGTCCCCAGCCCAGTCTGAGGAGGGATAAAAGAGCTACAGAGTTTTCCCATTTCTACCCTTTCTGGGCACCTACCACAGCACACCTCCGGAAGATGCTGCCTTCTCCTGTCTAATATAAAGCAGTTCCTAGCGTTGAGGGGCTCGAGGCAGAGGAAAGGTGTTACCACTCTGAGGGGAGAGAATGCCGAGCCTGGAACCTCACTAAGACAGCAGGTGACACGGTGACTTCTCACCACGGTGCCCACTGGCCCCTCCCAGTGACCGCCACTAGGGCAGCCCGGTAGCATCAGCGATTGGGAGAGGAGCCCAGCGCCGGGCCGGCATCCTGGCATCCCGGAGCCACCTACCTGTATCTCTGCTTCACCGACTGTTTCTCTGCCGACTTGCAGGCGTGGCCCGCGTAGTACAATGGGAAGAATAAAAAGTTCCAGTTGGTGGCAAACCATGTCAGGGTGAAGGGAGCATCGAACTTCCTGAAGGTCAGCTTGGCGAGCTGGGTGGCACCGGCCCAGGAGGAACACACGCACAGAACCACTGCCACGCCCCAGAAGATCTTCTTGAGCTGCGCCTGGGAACACCTCCAGCAGCGAGGGCTCGGTCTCCCGCCCGTGTCGGTCCCCACCGGCGCCTGGGCCTCTGCCGGGCCCGGGGGGTCCCGGGGGCGCTCCTCCCCTGGGGGAAGAGAGGGGCACGGTTAACCGGGGCCTCCAAACGTCCACCGTGGCCAGGAGCAAGAGAGCAACCAACTGTCATTGTCATGGCCAGCCACCCGGGGGAGGGGAGGGGAGGGGAGATGGGGATAGGGGCGTGGACGCAGCTTCCTGAAACAAAACTTAAAGACATTTTCAGTCGTTTCCTTCTCCTCTAGAATCTTGACCATCAAAAGATGGTGCATGGGCTGGCAGCATCAGGACCATCCCCAGCCTGTTGGCAATGGAGAATCTCAGGAACCCTGGCGTCAGAATCTTTACTTCGAGAGGTGCTCTCCGGGCCCGTCTGGAGAAGGCGAAGCATTTCTCCAGAACACACGGAGTGGCTCAAATAGTTCACCAAGTGTCAGCTCACACGGAGTGATGTGCTACCCGGCCTGGGCAGTGCTAGGGGCTGCGGACTCCCCCCTGAGGAGGTCATAGGTCTTGACCTCTAAAAGCTCCCAGGACATTGAGAGAAGCTCCTCCCTGCCTGTTACTTAAGGGCAGGGATGCCAAGAGTCTCATCTTCTTTTGCACGGAGAGCCAAAAAGATCTGTCTCTCTTATTTCTCTATTTGCTCTTACTGACTTCCAGCTGATGGCCCTCAGTCCCACTTTGAAGTGTTACTTAAAAACCACAGCCTCGGGCAGCTGGTGCTGTGCAAGGCCTCAGACGCTCCATTTGAGAATTGTGTGACTCCTGGAAACCAGGCTACAGGCCAGAGCATGGCTGTGTAGCAGCACTGTTCCCACAGACCATGAGAAGGGTGGAAAAGGCGTTATTTTCCACTGTTTGGTTTTCATTCATGATTGTGTGCAGGTCAGTCCTCTGGAAATTTAAACAGAGCTGTAACTTGTATCAGATGTGACCGTGGATGGATGTGAATTTCCAGGGGACGGCCTACTTGCCTTTTATATGTTCAGCCAGGCACTTAGCTGAATGAGGGCACACAGTATAGGGGTACACGAGATGGGTACAAAATATAATGGCGTCAAATGTACTCTGTGGATTTTGTTTAAACTTAGCAGTAACTTAAATAGCTCTAATACCATGAAACCAAGTTTTATACATCATACTGTCTGAAATATAATAATCCTATGAGGAAAAATCCTGATTCAAGGTACCCTATTATATAGGGATTAGCTAAGCCTATCATTAATTGACAGGTCTGGTTTTTTTTCTTTTTTTTTTTTGGCCTCACCTCGTGGCTTGTGGGATCTTAGTTCCCCGACCAGGGATTGAACCCGGCCTTTGGCAGTGAAAGCGCTGAGTCCCAACCACTAGACCACCAGGGAATTCCCTGGTTGTATCTCTTTTAGCCAAAGGTCATCCTAAGCCTTCGTGGCTGGCCAAGGAGAGATAATGTCTTTACTGACCCAAAATCCTTGACCCCATCTGTACTGTGCTTCTTTACCTGCTTTATTAATATTTAATCTCCCTCTTCCTCTTTCTTTCCATGTGTGTATATACCTAAGTCAGAAAGCCCTTGGAAAACCAAATGGCTGACCACCTCTGAACTTCCAACAAGTTGTCGGTTTCTGGCATGGGCTGCAGGGCAGGGAGAAGCAGAGGGGGCAAAAGCAAGGCAGATTCCTCCCCTTTTGTTTGATGCCCTCCCACCAGGACGTCTTGATTTTGTTCACAAGGAATCCCTACAACTTATGGCAAATTCATTTTCAGACAGAAGCATGCACGTTTCAATTTATACACTGGTTCTCTGACATTTGGGATGAGCCTCTGCAACCCTTCACTACTGGGATAATTTTCAAGCAGTGTTGTGGGTTGGCAGATTCCTCGACTACCAGCATCAACTATCAGAAAGTCCTACTGAAAAGATAATTACAGAGATGAAAAAAAAGTCCACCTAGAAAGGCAACGCAGTTTCACGGTACTAACTGGCCATTTAAGAAGGGAGTCTGGAGGAGGTTGAAAAAAATTCAGGCTCACAGTGTGTTTTTTCATCTAGTTTTGCATTATGGCAGATTAAGTTTTAAGTTTTAAAACTTAAAGGATGAAGCGAAGACTGATGCTATGTTGCTGTTACAATGAAAGAGAAAAATCACCAAATCATGTAAGACTGTACTGTTAAAATGCTTTTACAGATTTGGATAAAAGAAGTTATTCTCTAACTTTGTAAGCTCTCTGGCTTATTTGACCAGGGGAATACTGATAATACACAAACAAAATAAAGACATTTTGCGCTCTATTATTTAAAAATAAGATAGAACGATGTTTCCCAAAGTGTAATGCAGTTAACAGGTATTATAAGAAAAAAAGGATCCCACAATCAGAAAAGCTTGGGAAACACCAGGTAAGCCAGACAGGTTTCTTCGCTGTAGGAGTATTCAGGGCTAATGGATGTGGTGGATTTCCAAAAGGCAGCTAGAGAATGTGTGCTTCCCATATTATCTAAATGTAACACCTGTGATAGGACTGGGGTCCCTTGCAACACACTTTGGGAAACACTGGACTAGACCCATAAAGAATCAGAGGTATCCAAACCTAATTCATTGCAAACTTTCCATTTCACCACACCGAGTCTCTTATAGTAATAATCACTTATCAATTTCAATACCCGCTCATTCCTAATAATTCTTTTAAACTAGACCTACTTCATGTAAACTAAAAATATTCTTTACAGAATCTTTAGAAAAGTACTGCATGGAATGAATAAAAAGCAATGCACTGTATACTAATCTTAGTACCCAGAGATATCGCTGGACATTTTGCTGCACTTTTCCCAGTCTTTTTGTATCTTTGCATGAAACACACACACACACACACACACACACACACACACACTCACACACAGCAAAACTGGGAGCATACTGTATTTTCGGCCAGCAGTCATTTACCCTGATGCATAAGAGCATGGACTTTATAAATCTCACAGGGCTCTGTATAGTACGACGCAGCCTAGGAGCATTTCAATCCGCTAGGAAGTTGCCATGAAGTCTCCATCTGCCATGTGCCAAGAACTCTGGGCGGTCAATAAATAAATATAAAACATGATTACGTCCTGCTCTTCAGGAACTTACAGTCTATCTGGGAGTGACAAAATGGATCTATGAAAGAATTACAGAACAACTACAAATGGAGTGATTTGACTGTAACACAAATTCTAAAGACAGCGCAACCAGTGTGGGCTGTGATCACAGCAAGAAGAGCCGGAGAAAGCGTAAGCTTGGCCTGGGCCTTGCAGTATAGAAAGGATGAGGAACAAGAGAAGCAAAGTTCAGGGTCAGGAACACGCCTGGTCTGCCCCAGGAGCGGTGAGGAAGGTGGTGAGATCTGAAATCCACCGTTTCCTTGGCCCACTGTGATGCTCAATCTTGCTTTGGTCAGACACGCAGTAGGAGAAGTTGCCAGGCTGGTGGAAGGGACTTCAGCAAATTCAGATTTTGGAATTTACATTCTCTAGGAAGTAAATATACATTATACACGCCCCAGTGTCCATAACAAACAGATAAAATTAGTTGAAGCATAGGTATAGAATGACATAATGAATTTGGTTAGCAGACGCGTTTATTCTCTGCGATTTGAAACGCAACAAATGCATCCCACCCTACCATTCTCAAGGTCACTTTCAACAAGCTGTCCAACTGATGCTCAGATTTCAGAGAGAAGGAATTACACTGGGGTGGGGGGTGGGGGCAGAATATCCATTCTCAAAAGCCTCTCATATCTTCCCGTGCAAGAAACTTTGGTTTACTTTCTCTCCCCTCCTAAATTAACAAGTCGAGGGATTCCTCTGTGCCTGGTATCTCTCTTGTATCACCCCTGAAAGAGGCAGTACAGAGTGCCTCGAAGAAATCAGTACTGAATGAGCCTCACGCTGTGTCCTGTCCCAGCTCCTCTGACTCTTATCACACAACTAGAAATACTGTTTATGTCACCCTCACTCACTAACATCCCCTCCCCACTAACAACCCCTCTACTTATGATCCTGAACTTTCCATCTTAACCTTGCACTTGAGCCAAGAGTTCTGGGCTCAGCGCAAAGTAGATTATATTCTCTGGCCCAATGGTTGTGCTGACAGATGCGGTCACTGCTGCCTCTAAAGGCTTAGTTTACGCCACTTAATTCACTCGGAAGCGCTGGGGGACAGGCGGGCTCTCCCCAGTTCTATTGCCAGAGCTGCCTCCACTGAGCATTTTGGAGAAAGGTGTGTGTGTGTGTGTGTGTGTGTGTTTAAGGGGAGTGTTCTCCAGCATACAATGTATACTCCACGGCGTGCCAAGATATAACCGTACCTGTGCGTGAACTTCCATCCTGAGCTCTGTTCAGAGTCAGGCAATTTACTGAAACCATGTATTAGTCCTACCTGCAGAATCACACCTGATACTCCTCTCCTACCAGGAATCTATAAAACATATGCACTCTTCGGTCAAGCAGTACCTAGAGGCAATGTCTGCTCAGCGGAAGGAAACTCTAGGTGCTAATGGGTGAGCTGGAGATCTGGTTTAGCCACTAACTCATTCTGGGACCCAGGCAAGTCCTCTGTCTCACGAGCTGTCCATTGCTTTCTGCTGAGCAAATGATGAACTGGGGGCTTTTTAAGTTTATTTAGTGAAAGCCATTTCTCCAATGAGAAAGCTAGAACAACTGGAAAATTCACTCACTCTCAACTTCGAGTTCCCATAAAACGGCTCTTGCAAACCTCCAAGAGAACACAAATGTTTCTTTTTCGAGGTCCCCTGAGAATAGGGAGACCCTTGGTGACGCTCTCTGAAGAAGTGTCCAGGAAGTTTTGCACTTAGAAAGTGCAAGAGTCATGTCTTAGGGGTGAGGGACCCAGCGCTGGGCTCAAAGACCACCCACTGGCTGGCCTGGTCCCAGCCTCCTGAAAGCAGAGAGATAGCATTGTGTAGAGACCAGGAGAAGACACCTCCCAATGGCACCTCCATCAGTAAGATCTACACAGTTAATTTTTCACAGCTTTTTTTTTTGCGGTACGCGGGCCTCTCACTGTTATGGCC